CTCCCCACCCGCAGCTCCCTGTGCGCCGGAAGCCCTCCTTCCGGGAAACCCTGATGGCCTCGTTATTTTTGACACAAACAGAACTCTCAGATTTTTTTGAGACTTGCCTTTGGTTCAGGATGTTCTCTTTGAGGCTCGAGGATACATAAGGATTAGGAAACGGGTGCTCCAGTGTAACGAAAAGAATGCAGTGGAAGGATGGAAATGATCTCTAGTCCCAAACCCCTGTGTGTGTTTTAGACCATCACATGTGAAAGGGCTGCTGATTAAGGCTGTAAAATATTTACATGATTGTGGCTTGTTTTATAAAGTAGAGGTTGGGGGCACTTCATTAACCAGCTTCATTTCTTGGTACAGCCTACTACAATTTCCTTGAATGCTTAGATTTGATACACAGTTAAAGAATACAGTACTTGCCTGCATTATTTCCTGAAGGTTGGTGCCTCTGTTAATAACGCAGGAGGGCTGCGTTATTGAAGACCGGGAGAATATGTTTGTCTGGAGAAGGTCGCCGCTGTTAGAGGCCATTTATCTCTCTTCTGGGCCCCTCATTTGGAGCAGCCACAGTTCTGAAGGAACCACACACACAACGCTCCAACAGCAATTCAGGTGGGCAGTGCTGGAAACAGGGTGTTGGTGTCGGGACATTTCAGAAGTTTAATATTTTGGTAACCCAGGCTCCATAAATCACTGTATTACAACAGGTCTATTTAAAACCCCTCCGGGCAGCTGTTTAAAATACTGTCACTGCAGTAAGTGATGTCCCCTGAGTTACATGGCAGGTCTGGGCTAGAAGGGATGGGTTTTGTTTGTGTTTCTCTAACTCCAGTTAGGTTTACCCTAGGACTCTCCACTTCTGGAAAAGTCCTTCCACTTCTAGTTATTTTAAAGCCAGGATATGGGGGCTTTCTTCCATTCTTCTCCCCAACCATCCAGTGTAACAAGCACAAATTGTTAACTTTAGATTAAGATGCTTAATAAGTGAAATCTGGACTCTCTCAAGAAGGCAGGCAGCCTGGAGGATTGGTTGTGGCTGATGGCTCCTGTGGGCTTTGCCTAGGCCATCACTGGGGCCGAGGCCACCTGCATAGCACCTGCGGACAACTTAGGTCTAATTACCCATGGGAGCACACCTTTGCCGGTCCTGCTCTGGCCTCCAGATTTTCTTCGGGGTCTGACAAGGTAGCAGGTGTCTGGACCCCAGATTGTGGGAGAGAAGCCTGAAGCCAGGTGAGGGGCGTTTCCTTCAGTGAGCAGCATATCTATAGGCAGAAGCACTGCCTCTCGCTGGGGCTCCAAACTCTGAAGAGGACACTGTTCGGTTTCGTTCCCCATTGTGTTCTGGCCTGAGTTAACTAGGAATGTAAAAAAAAAAGATGAACTGGTTGGGCACAAAAAAGAGAGAAATTTAGCATTAGTGGGCCCATTCAGAATTTTTCAATTAGCGAAGTATATAAAAGTCAAACATACCATCTTAATTTCCGCAGACTCACAAATGTTACAATCTTCAACACTTCTTCATTTTGAATTCCCTATCAGCTGTGAAGCAGGAGGGCCCCTTGCCCTTTGCAGTCTTGGCTTTCCTTTGCTGGTATGAAGCGTAATCAAAAACTAAAGTGAATGCTTAATTAAGATGTATTACAGTAAGAGACATACTGCCATTAATCTCTCTCAAGATACTTTCCCTCCCTTTAAAACATTTACAGAAATTTCCGCCAAATAGAGACATAGTGGAGTGTCGTCATTCACCTTATTCGCTGGATCAGGCACTGTGCAACTTCTGAGTCTTCCCCCAAAGTCAAAATGACCACAAAAGGTAAGTGTTTTGGATGGATTCAGGGCATCACGGGAGCCACAACAAAACAAGCAAAGACACTCACAAAAGAGGACTGCCTGAACTGCTTCAGAAAGTGGCAAGGATGACAGCAGAAGTGCATTGGAAGCTGCTTCAGAAAGTGGCAAGGATGACAGCAGAAGTGCATTGGAAGCGAGGGGGAGTAATTTGAAGGGGAATGATGGCAATGTGCCTCCCCCTGTAATGACATTTTAAATTTAAACATTCACCATAGTTTTTGATTGCACATTGTCTTCGTTACTTTCCTCATCGCTGAGACAACACCACAAGTTAAAGAAGGAAAGGTGTTTTCGGCTCCCAGTCTGTAAAGGTTTCAGTTCATAGTTGGCTGGCTCCAGGCAGGGGACCACGGAGAGGGGCATCATAGAGGAGAAAGTTCGTGACATGGCAGGCAGAGGGTAGCAACAGCAGCTAGCAGCCCTCTTTCTCTCCCTTTATATTCCATCCAGACCACAAGCCTATTGATTGGTGCCACCCACACCCAGGATGGGGCTTCACTCTTCAGCAAATGCATTCAGCCACACCCAGAACTGTGCTAATCCAACTAGGGCACTAAGCCAGATATCACACACTCCCGCAATCCATAGCCACATACCCTAGATCTGACCACCTCTAAAAGGCCCCACCTCCAAGTGCAGGAGGCTTTGGGGGACATCTAGGTACAGGCCAAAACACACACTGTGTATAGCAGGTAATCAATTGGTCAGATCATGGCATAAACACAGAAGAAGAGCAAGGACTTTGGAGTTAAAATCTGAGTTTGACTCTCAGTGTGCAATTTGCCATGTGACCTTGGGTGGGTGAATTTCTGAATTTAGGATTCGTTTATTGGGAGGGGTAAGATAAAATATGCTCTACATTGTGTATGTGGTTTCTGTTAATGAGATAATGTTATATATCCCATGGATCTCACAGATTTATTTCTGCTTCCCACTGGATTTGCCCCAAGAGCCCCTTAGCTCTCCTGCTTCAGGAGATGCCTTACCTCTGCCTTTTCCAGTTAAGGAAAGAGGCAGGGTTCTCCAAGTGATAGGCCAGGAAGGCAGCCTCCTCAGGCCTCCCTGGCCCTCCCTGGGCCTCCCCAGCATAGGGCCCTGCTGCATGTGGGACACCCTCACTCCCTGACATTTGTGGATTTTCACGAAAAAAGAAAAAAAAATAGCAGCACACCAAACAACACCCCAGTGACCCAGGAGAGTGGGACTCCAGGGACACCTGCCCCTTCCAAACCAAGGCATGTGTGTGGCAGCCATGCATGCTTCCTGGTGCCCAGGCCCAGCCCAAGGTGCCGGTGTTTGGGATCCCAGCAAGGCCCCAACCTTCCTGTGCCCTGGCCCCGACCTTGCTGAGGTTTCACACTGGGTCACTGTTTGTTTAGAAAACAGAGCCACAGAACTGAGGCCAAGCCCTCAATTTTCTGTTTTGCAAAATTCTCAATAAGTTTTGGGAAAGGGCGATTAAAAGGGGATGGAATCATACACCCCTCATAAGATAATCCTCTTCTCTGAGTTGTGGGGTTGGAGGGCCTTCCTTACTGGAAACTGTCTTTCTGGAAATGGCCTTTATTTGCTATTGTGGGGCCACATTTCCTTTCCTCCTTGCTTTCCCTTGTTTCTTTCTGGTTGTTTGTTACTTTATTATTTTTCTTTTCTGATATTGAGATTGTGCTTTTTTTAATCTCTCGCTTTTTAGGTTTATTGTTTTCTTGGCAGAGATCGAAGTATTCTATCACTGAGCTACACCCTTAGCTCTTTTTATTTTATTTATTTATTTTTTTTCATTTTGAAACAGGGTCTTGCTAAATTTCCCAGACAGGACTAAAATTTGCCATCCTTCTACCTCAGCTTCCTTCAGTGCTGAGATTCACGTAACCCCCGCAACACACTCTATTACTTTGCAGAAGTTTGACCATGCCATTTTTTGCCCTGTTCCCTTTCTTTATCTTTTGCAGTGAGACAAAATTTGAAGTAATGTTTTAAATTAATCCTTAGTTTTTAGTATATCTTTAGAACCTCTCCCCTCCTTCTCTGCCTCCCCCACCAGGTTCAGTAAAAGATGGATATAATTTTATTTGGTCTCTCATGTAATGGTTTTAGTACCTTTGTGACCTTGGACAAGTCACTTGTCCTTCCTAAGTCTTCACTTCTTTATCTGTAAAATGGAGTTATAATGCCCAACTTCAAATATTGATCTGATAAAATATGTTACCTGTAATAATATTCTCACACATAGAATACACAGCATGGGGCAGTTATCACAATCAGTTATGGTCCTGTCTTCTAGATATAAAGAGTCTTCTAACAACCCCAACACTGTACCCTCAAACAAAACTTTAGTTACAGTTCCCAGGCTCTGGCTTCCCAAGTTAATCAAATCTTCCAAGTCCTGCTTCAACATTTACACCATTTTGGAAGAAGGGGTAGCTGTGGATTCTCTCCCACCTGAACATCAACTTCAGTCTCCTAAACAGTCTCTCTGACTCCTGTTCACCCTATTTTAATTTCTATTCCAAATCACAAGCAACATAGTTGTTATGGTTTAGATTTAGAAAGTACCCAAGAAGCCCCATGTGTTCAGAGGTAGGGCTTTAGGCAGGTGATTGGATCACAGGGGTACTGTACCCATTGGTAGATTCATCCACTGGTGAGTTCAGCAGCTGAGTATGATGCTGGGAGGTGGGGCCTGGTAGGAAGAGATGTATCAATGGGATCACAACCTGGAAAGGTAAATCTCCCTTCCTGGCTGCCCCTTTCTCTCTCTGCTTCCTGACCACCATGACATGAGCAGCTTTTCTCTTCAAGGCCTTCTACCCATACCATTTCTGCCTTGGAGCCAGCCAACTGTGGCCTGAAATCATAGACAGCATAGATGCTAAACTATTAGCATTAAAAGAAGGTGAGTACTTTGCATTAGGATAATAAAAAAGATGGCTCAAAGACTTCTCAGGAATCAGCAAGACCCAAGGGTGCAAAAGTGAAAGATTTTGCCTTGAGAAGAGAGTGCCAAGGCACTCTACTGAAGAAGGGCTGCCTAAAGAATTGGTTTCCTGACATTCAGTTCACAGTGCTCAGCTGCCCAGACACTTTGATGCCTCTATAGCCATGGTCCAAGGAGTCCTGGCCACTGCTAGCACTGGTGGCAGACCTTTGCTCCATCCACATGGTGCTGGTTTTATAGCCATGCAGAGTGCAAGGGTTGTGGGGTCAGAGATGCTTCCACCCAGATTTCAGAGGAAGGACTAGGGAAAACATGAAGCTAAAAGTGCAATGGAGACCCCAAGAAGTTGGAGATGCCAGGAATGTGAAGCATCTGCTTAGGAAGGCTGTAGGCACTGAGTGAAGCCAGTCCGAGAGAGATCATGAAGGCTTCAACTAGCAGTGTATAGGAGTGGGCCATTCACGCCTTTGGAGTTCGTAAATCATTGCAACTGCAACATGCACCAAGTGCTAGATATGCATCTACAGGATTTAACTTTTGCCCTGTGAGGTTTCACTCCTGCTTTAGTCCCATCCCTTTCTATCCCCCTATTTCTCCTTGGAATGTGAATGTTTACTCAGTGCCATTGTATATTGACAGTATTTGATTTTCTTTTTTATTTTCATGGGGGCTCACAGCTGAGTTTGCCTTGAGTTTCAGAGGAGATTTTGCACTTTGACTTTTCAGTAATGCTGAAACTTTTAAAACTTTGGTGACTCTTAGAGCTGGACTAAATGCATTTTGTATAAAGAGAAGGCCATGAGTTCTTTGGGATCATGCAGCAGAGTTTGATAGATTAATCCACTGGTGAGTTCAGTGGCTGAGTGTGCTCTTAGGAAGTGGAGCCTGGTCAGAACAGGTAGGTTACTGGGGCTATGACCTGGAAGGGTATCTATCCCTCCCTGGCTCCTCCTTCGCTACCTGCCTCTTGGCCACTGTGATACAAACACCTTCTCTCCACAGCAGATCTTTCTACTGTGCTGTTTCTGCCGTGGAGCCAGCCAGCTATGGACAGAAACTTCTGAAACTATGAGCCCCAGTGAACCTCTCCTGTAAGTTGTCATGTCGTATATTGTGTCCCAGTGATGACAAAAGTGACCAAGACAGTAGTCTTCAAAATCAAAAATTTGAAGGAGAAGAAAGTAAACATCCATGAATCCTAGATTAACTTTGACGTCTTTCATTGGTGCCTCTTTTACCTTGAATGAAATCTAAACTGCCTCCTCCCAGACCAGGCTCTCCTGCTATCATTCTGCCTCTCCTGTGTTTCATCTATGTGCCTTTTTTCTGTCCTTGCTCTTCTCTGATGGCATGGACCTCTCTGCGCCTTAAAGCTGTGCTCTCACTGCTCTCCACTGAATGACTCGTTCAGCTCAAAAGTCACCTCCTCAGAGATGCCATCACAGCACCTGGCCCCAAG